GACTGGTCAAGGTCCCCGCTTGGCCAGCCTTTACAGATGGAGGAGCAGCCTGAGCCCACTGTGTGCTTGTGGAGAGGAGCAAACCATGGAGCATATTATTGAAGCCTGCCCTCTGCACAGACTAAAAGGAGGTCTAGTCTCCCTCCACAATATAGATCAAGAGGCTACTGCTTTGTTTGAGAATTTTGCATTCGCTAAATAAATAATATTTGCTGCATTTTATCTCACCAAAGAGGGAAAAAATCTCAAAAATGTAACTGTCAAGTGTCAGCTGAAGCAACTCATTTTGCTGGCAGTCTTTATCAGCTATTGGTAATTCCATGAGTTGGCAAAACGAATAATGAAACGTGGCTAATGAACTCACTTTGCTGAGCAGTCAGCACTCATCTTAAATGAGACTACCAGCTCCATCCCCATGGTTTTAGCTAGGGAATGTCACAAGGATGTTTTAAGCTGTTCAGAGCCCAACAAAAATATATATTGTATGGTTGGATTTCTACTCTGAATGTACTCATAAATCATAAGCAAAATTTGTATTATTTATGTTCTTGGTTTTTTTTGTCCATTCCAATGGACAGAGAATCTGAACGCGAGACATCACCTAGTAGTAAAATTGACAATAAATGATCTTAACAATTTTTCTACAAAAAACATGAGTAAACTTATCTTTCATGAATATTTTAGTTATATAAATGAATAAAGTGATGCTGTAAAACACATTATATATGTATATATTTTGTATTGCATTTGTCATCACGACCAAAATATTCTCAATCTCTGAAGTATCTGGAGAAAACATTGTGTTCAAAACCTCCTGAGATGAATGTTCTGTGTGCATAATCAACAGGATGCATAATGAGCTGATTTTATCATGAGAATCGGAATTAGTATTTCCCTATTTAAACAGTATTTCCCAGTTTACTCTCAGGTGACATTCAGATCCACCGTCCATTCCAATGGACAGATGTTTTTGAAAAAGCCTTGAGTAAAACCTATAAATCTTTCATAAGATATTTTTCCATGTATAAGTAATATAGCATCTCGTCTTAACTTTAAACAGTTTAAACACAGATTATGTACTTTAATAATGTGATTAATAGATTAAATGTGACTTGCCTATTCTCCTTTCTCACAGTCCGCCATGCTTGTTAAAGAAGGGGAAGTGGCTCAACTGCAGTCCACTTTAGATGATGTGGAACACTGTGATTGGGTTACAGACATCCAGTCAAACAAGTCTGTGCATTTAGGTGGAGTCAGGTGACAGTAATCATAGATCTAGACATCCTAGAAAAGTTATGTGCATTGGAATGGACGGGGATCTTAACAGGCTAAGCTTGTGCTACTTTGGTACAAATTTTCTCATTTTACAGGTAAACAGTACACTAAAATATGTTTCTGAAAACATTTGAGATGAGAAATAAACTCTTGATTTGAGCACTGCCTAATTTGACAGTTTGTCCCAGCTGACAAGCAGTGGTTGACATGATTGACAGCTGCGTGACAGACTCCTCAGCTCTGGTCTGTTGTTTTCCGTGACGATCTGCCTCATATTATACTGTGTGTAAGCAGTGACAGCTTCAGCAAATATGACAAGAAGTTATTTTCATAACCAACTGTAGCTTTAAAGGCTCAAAGCAGCCACACAGGTGCTCTTTCTCATTGTGTCTGATGAGCTCTCTGCTCAGGTTGACACTGGGTGAAGCAGTGCTGGAATTACCTGAGGCCCCCAAAGTCATGAACCAATATGAAACATAAAGGTGTGGCCTCTGCTACCCTAACAGGGGATATAACAATAATAGAAGGGACAGATGCCATTTTTTCTGCCCCTTACAGAATCTGTGCCACCACTGGAGACGTATCTGCTCTTTGACAAGGTACGACGTATGCAAACCTCCTTTATGTTACAAATGAGCTGCCAAAAAATACAGACAAGAAAAAACAACAACCAGCATCACCTGCACAGATCTCACAAGGAATTGTTATTTTTCATTCAATAAAGCCCCTCTCACACTTGACAAAAACAACACTAACACCCATGAACAGCTAGCTTTTGTCTCTAGTGGGAAAGGTTACAACTGGCATTCGTTCCCAGAACAAATAACTCTGCAGTAGTCACTGGTATTCATCAACACCAGCTCTGATCGACTTCAAACGCCAGTGACAGAAACATGTCAACCGGGTAGACGTGATAATTTTACACCCTTTGTGGGCGTGATGTAATGACGCAAAGCCACAAATTTCATCCAGCTCTTTCCATGTAGCACTCAAACATTGTTCTATGTTAGTTGGCACTGAATTTAAAAGAGTAACCTGGTCTCACTCTGAAGTCATCGAAATCTGGCCCCTTGGGCGGTGACTTGAGGCATCAGACATGTCAGACACGGCGTCAGACACTGACAAAGAAAGACGTCCTTTAATATCAGCATGATACGCAGTTGGTTGCTGTTAAAGTTTAACGGCGCTCAGAAGTGTCAGGGGGAAACATAGCGGGACAAGAATGGCAAATGGACCTGCATTTGTTATCCGACCACTCAAAGCGCTTCTCCACTACGAGTCACATTCACCCATTCACACACACACACATTCATACACCGGTGGCTGAGGCTGCCATACAAGGTGCCACCTGCTACTCAGTTTTTAACACACTCACACACCAATGGAAGCATCATCGAGAGCAATTTGGGGGTTCAGTATCTTGCTCAAGGATACTTCCGACACTTCGCCGGGGATCGACACGCTGATCTTCCGGTTGGTGGACGACCCGCTCTACCTCTGAGCCACAGCCACAGAATGACAGGTAAGGCAGCGAAAGTTCAAGTAGAAGGGGTGGTGGATGGGTCCAACAAAAATCAACTTTCAGGAAAGCGGTGTTGCATCCCGTAAGGTTATAAAGCCAAACTCTTTTTTCCTGAACCTAACCATGTGCGTTTGTTGCACGTAGTGTGTTTATTTTGATAGAGACTGTATGTAAACGTTAAATTTCCTGTGAAAGAACACAATACTTGTAAAAGGCATAACTCTGTACCAGAACGCCAACAACCAACGCACCCAGGGTACCTTGCAAGTCGCATCTGGATGTTGAAGTTCCATGACCAAACGCCGATATGTGACATGGTCGATGTGAGAATGCATTGAAGAGAGACTGATTAAGTAAGAGATATAATAAAGATGTAACCATGTTACATTTTCGGTGGCCTCCATGCTACTGGTTGGTTCCTACTGTTTATTAACCTGTTGTCTTGCACGTTTGTGATGTTAAATGTTACACACAAGCAAGAAAAAACAGAAATGCATACTCATCTACTGCAGAGTCCTGAACAAGGCTCTAGTCTACTGGCAATGGGAAAGAAGTCTATCACCAATCCTTCATGGGTTTTCGTGCATGTACTCGCTAATTTTGGTGGACAAAGGGTATAAGATAAAGGCGTAAACCAGTAGCCTCAATTTGACCCCTGTTGCTAATATCCTGTGCCTGTAAGAAAGTGTTATATTAACATTACAATTTGGTGTTGGTTGGATTGATTTTGGCCTCAAGATGGAGTTAATAATTCATTAAAATAGTCCGCTCTAATTTAATTGCCTCCAGTATGACTATCTCTCTGTGAAAGCTGCTCACCTACATTTGTCAAACACGTACTGCAAAGTGAATTAATACCACGAGGTGTTATTGGTTTTCTGGGGGAGAAAAATAACATATCATTTTGCTGTGAAAACAAACAACACTTAATGCACAGACTCTGGCATCTCTTACAGACCAAAGCTGCTTGCACACAGTAAACATGATTTCAGTGAAATCTTAGGAGGTTAAGATACCACTGGCTCTACCGGCAGTCTCTTGGGATGTCCAAGCACAGATTCAGAATACCAATTATATTGTCCGAGCCAGCATAAACAGGGTTGTTAGGGTAAAACCTGCCCTATTGATGGAGCCTCTGCTGATCAATGATACAGCCACAGTATCTCCACAACCATCCATTGTGTTTCAAAATGTTTGCTGAGGAGGAAATTGGTCAGCTAATCAGGTACTGTATGTCTTGATATGTCTTGGCTGGTGAAGTATTCCTACAGATATTTGTGCTTTTGGGAGATGCATTTGTGCAGAAATGTGTTTCTTCATATTGGACATTACAGTGTGTTTCCTCCATGTAAGAGCCATTTTCCCAAGTCATGACTATTCAAACTGACTGACTCATTCACACTTATTTCTGACATTATGTTGATGACATCACACACAAAGTGGACATTTTGTCGTCCTCCTTCACGATACTTATTTATCAAATGTCTCATAGATCACATCTCGGAAAACAATCCTCCACTTGCCTCTATTTTTAATCCCTTCCAAAAAAAATTGTTAAGAAATCCAGCTACTGTCAAGGACCGCCGTGACTCCATGTTTTTTAATCATCTGAGCTCCCTGTGTTCATACTCCACATGTCTCTTAGAATTTGTCCTAAAATGTGAGGTCTTGATCACAGTCACACTCCCTGCTGAGACGTATCCTGCCAACTTGCTGACTAATGAGTCCAGATCTGTGATTGAAGCACTTTAGCTTGTGTACACAGATATTCTGCCATTGTGCGGATGGGTATTGGACTACTGAGTAAATGAAAATTGTCACTTCTCTAGCACATGTAAGTTTCAGATAGATAGATAGATAGATAGATAGATAGATAGATAGATGGAGTATTATGGAAAAGCAAAAGTACTATGAGAGACACAGACAAATCTGTTCCTATGAATGTTGTGGTGGGCTGTGTTGGATGATGGGAGATTTGTAAATACACCATTGACATACAGACACAGAGGGAAGCCAGCACACACACAGTATGATGCTTACAGGCTACTTACACACTCACATCACATCTCTGTTGTCCAAATCAGCACCTGTCACCAAACTGAGGGGGGAGTTCCCACCAATAAACCAAACGCAATAGACTTAAGATGAAAGCTGGCGTTTCAAACGTAGGCTCCACTTGTTATTATGGGGACAGCTCGCTTACCTGTCATAGCTCCACCTACTGTAAGACATGCTCCTGTTGCTGCTGACTCCCTCCATGTCTCCGGCGAACTGAGCGGACTGGACCGGGTGGTGAGACGGCCGAATGTGAGCGTGAAGCCTCCACTCTCCGTCCTCACTGAACCCAAGCCAAACACGAACTAGAGGAGCCGAGTGAATGAGCAGCAGAGAGGCTGTGCGGAGACAGACGCTCTCCTATGGGCTATACCACCACAGAGAGGGGCGCGCGAGCTGTCAGCTCAGCTCACGGTGCGCGCGCGGATGCTGATTTATTTCATTCACGCGGACCCACACAACGCTGATTATTTTTTTACTGGTAATTTCCCCACTGACTGTGTCAAAAGTCTGAGCTGACGCCACATCTCAGTGGATTAAACTGTGGTTTGTGTATTTTGATTATTGGCATCTCGTGATTGTTTGATAGCCAATAGCAATTAACCTCCCCACTCATTTGCTGATCAATACAGAAAGGCAGATAGTAGCTGTGCTGTAGCCCACAAGCACTGTTCTGTCTGTTCATTTATTTTTCAAATGCTGAATCAAACTGTGTGTGGATGGGTGCACTCTGAAGAGGTAATTGGCCATGGATGTAATTTCATGTAAATTAGAAAAGGCCCAATTTTTGTATTTTCCACAGGATCAGGCTCACACACAGCTCCTTGCCTTGCTTACTGCATGCAGGTTAAGACTCCTGCTTCTCCAGGATCACTAATTGGATGTCTGCACAACTGTGATTTTGTGTAAACATTGAGACACTTTAAAGTAACCTATCATTAAGTGAACCAATCCAGAGAGGGAAGATGGGAATGAGGGCAAAGGGTGTGCAGGAAATCCACTTGAGCCGCCATTTTAATACTCGATGAGTCCCAGTATCTGCTACTGAGTAGCTCTTAGTTAAGCTAACAAATGAACATAAAGGACACCAGAGCTGTGGAGGTCCTCCAACCCTCCCATACTTACCTTATTTTCTTTTGTCTATATTTAGGGGTCCAAGCAGCGACACCCGCTCAACACATTATTCTTCTTTTGTGTTATTTCTATCTGCTAAAAGTGTTGATGCTGCAAAAAAGGCAACTCACCAACATTGGCAGGTGGGATGCAAATTCCACCCACTGGTTAGGTACGTGTTTTTCCAATAATCTCGAACAGAGCTTGGCTTTGAGTCAAAATATATTTTACCATTTCAGTCTCTCAATTCCTCTGCATCTTTGCTTCAATGGTCTTCTGCTCTAAAAATGTCAAATTTTATGACTTTTTCCTCAATTTCCTCTAAATCCTATTTTTGAGAACCAGTCAGAGACCATTCATCCAGTTGCATTGAAACTTTGCCAGTGCAATCATCTACAGACATCACTGATCTAAAGATATCAAGGAAATATCCATTTGTCAATCCTTTATACGGTTATGAAATTATCTTTTAAACCTGTCTTAATGTTCAGTTTTACATAAATGCTCATAAATCAACATTGGCTTAAGTGATTGTAACCATACCTGGTGCACGTGTTCAGATACTTCGTCCGAGCTCAAGATATTCTGCCACTTGGGGGCACCACAGAAAGTTTTTAATCCTCTAATCAGCTGCAGCGATTTGTACAAAATTCTGTTTGCACCATCTAAAGTCATCACTCTGTCAGTGCACAAAGTTTGGAAATGATTGCTTGAAGTGGGTGTGGCTTATTACAAGAAATATAGTTTTCTAGACATTTCACATTCAAAACTTAAAAAAAATCATAATAATTGTTATTTGTTTTGTATGCACATTTTCTTTTTTTTATCTAATATTCAAAGAATTGTCACAAAAATATTTACCAATATACCAGTAGAATGATGTGTAATTTATTTATTTATTTTAAAATGTCTCCACAGATACTTTGACTGTTGTAAGCAGTTTAAAATAAAAAAGATAAAAATACCATTTTTGCACATGTGGTGCAGTGAGTAAGTTGCCTCCTGTGGCCTTACAGAGGTCCAGGGTTTGAATCCCACAGAAAGTGGCATCCTACAATTTTCACCAAAATCTTTGACGACACCTGAGGAAAGCAGTTTGATGAGTGCTATTTTTCTGGATTATATTCGAGCTGTTAAATTGTTGGGATTTTTTTAAGTTTGTGACCTCCCTCTCCACCTGCATCTGGGTAGTTGCTAACGAGGTGTGCGCACCCTCCTGTTTCTGCCCATCTCTCAAAACCTTCCAGACATGTGCTTATGTATTTTTCATGCTTGTACAGTGGACATTTTACAGGATAACTTTTAGTCTCGCCACCAGACAATCAGAGATCTCCGCCTTCTGATAAAGCGTCTAAAGACTGACTTGTGAGTCTAGATAACTTTTGACACTTCTAACGTAGAAGCAGTATTTGTGTATACATTAATAATTCATTTCAATTCAATTTTATTTATAAAGCCCAATATCACAAATCACAATTTGCCTCACAGGGCTTTACAGCATACGACATCCCTCTGTCCTTAGGACCCTCGCAGCAGATAAGGAAAAACTCCCCCCAAAAAATGGTAGAAACCTCAGGAAGAGCAAAATATACATAGACATGGAATACATTCCAGGTCTTTAACAAAGTAAAAATTCAGTACACTTATAATCATGTGAAACACGTCTTCACTGAAGTATATAAGCTATATAAAATGTTTCCGAAAGTGGATTTACATACTTCAGTAGAGCATCAGCATATTGTGATGACCATGAGGAATCGTTTTTCTTTTTTTCATTTTCATTTTTCAGTTTTAAAGAACACCAAGAGTTCCAAATAGCATCCAAATACTTGCATTCTGCTTTGGCCCTGGCTCAGTGCTGCTTACAACTTTAATATATTGTGTCTTTACCACAGCCAAGACTGGCGGATGTCCTTCTCTTTCTTAGGGGCGACTGTGGCTCAGGAGGTAGAGTGGGTCATTCACTAATCGAAAGATCAGCAGTTTGATCCCTGGCTCCTCCAGCCCGCATGTCAAAGTATTCTCAGGCAAGATACTGAACCCACATTGCTCCTGATGGCTGTTCCATCAGAGTCTGAGGGCATTTAAGCTAAGTAGCAGGTGGCACCTTGTATGGTACCCTCAGCCACCTGTGCATGTGCATGTGTGAATATGACATGTATTGTTAAAGCACTTTGAGTGGTTGGAAGACCAGACAGGTGCTTTATAAGTGCAGGTCCATCTGTTTAACATCTTTCCATGTTGACTTTTTTGAAGGAGCAAAAAGATATCAATTGCTGATAATGATAAGTGCAGTTGGAACCGTTACTTGCTTTATACTTACTCATAATCACTAGCATTGTTCAGTGTTAAATACTAGATGCCAGGTGATATCTTTACACCCACAACACCAAAATTATTAAAACAGGTTAATGGATACCTTTGGTGTTTAATCTTAAAGGTCCAGTGTGTGGGATTAAGGGGCACCTATTGGCAAAAATTGAATACAATATTCATAACTACTGTGTTGTCATTACCTTAGCATGAGCCGTTTACTTCTATATACCAAGCAGGACCTCGTCCATGGAGCTGTTTCTACAATAGCCCAGAACGGACAAACCAAACACTGGCCTTAGATAGAGCCATTCACGTTTTTGCATCGGCGACAATAGTTCTCTGTCACACTGGGCACACAGGAGAAGTATCTGTTCTTCAGCCTCACCACTAGATGTCACTATATCCTACACACTGTACCTCTAAATTCTGATTCTCTCTGTACATGCAAGGACTAGCTGGGATGCTATATACTCTCAGGACATGAGACCAATTAGCCTGGAAGTTTGCAGTTGCACAGTACCATCACAGGCAATGATTAAATGTACGAAAGTCACAAAGGACATTCTGCCACCAGTAACAAAGGACTGAAAGCAAAGCACAGCTGTGGAGAGGGATGACATGCTCTGTCAGAAAAGAGAGAAGCCTCTTTTTCACAAGGAGAAAAGAGCTGTAAAAATCACACATATTGTCAAGGATAGCAGGGACATGACTCAGACTGGCGAAGCTCTACGTGATGTGTTTACCGAACCATTGGAGTAAGCTTTTAGAGGTTACTATTGATGGTTTGATCAGAGTGAAAATGATGTGAATCTCATGCTATGGACTTCATAGCCATCAGATATGAACATCTTTGGGAAATTTTGGACTGACGGTGATCTCCACCTCATCAAAATACATATTGAGGGAATATATTTTGGAGGAATATTGTTCATCTCTCTAACAGAGTTGTAGAAATATTCCAAGGAGCACTGACGCTGCTCAAGTGCCCATCATCATTACGAAAACTATATGTTGCATGTTCTTCTTTTGATTTGCCACCTGTTGAAATGTCTCCATGTTATGTGTTTATCTAGAGTGGTTGAAGCATTTAAGAACATTTCCTTGGTCAAAACAACCCCCTTGTGGTCAAATATGTGTATGCATGCATGCATCAGTGATGTCTGTCATCAGACTGTATACACTGTATACTTTCAGTGTTTACTTTTGCTCTCAAAGGCATTTATTTGGAAGAAGCAAGAGGTCTGTACGATGTTTGAGTGTCTGTGTGTTTAAATATATACATATAAATATAAATATATATATTCACTCTGACATGCACAAAACAAATACAACCCAGAGAGAAACATGCAGTTTGTGTGCAACTTAAACCAAAGTAGATCAATCTGGATCTATACTAACTGATAGTATTGTAAGGAGATCATACAGAAGGAATTCTCCTTTGGAAATTCATTGTTTTCTGGGATATGAGAGGTCATATTGATTCTCTAACACCAGTCATGCTGTAAATAATATTGATTTCTCTAACACAAGGCTCCATATGGAAGCTTCAGGTCTGTGAAGCTTTTATTTTTGAATCTAAAAGAAAGATTCTCTACCCCATCTGGCTCAATGACAGATTTTATTTTAGCACCAAAAGCTAGACACAGGGCAAAAGACACTGATATGGAAGAAAAAGAAAGAACAGTATGATTTGGATGTACACTATAGGATTTGCAATAAGATGGGAAGTAGGTCTTTCAAATCTCAGTGATTATAATAATTCATTCATGTGGTTTTAAGCTCCTATGTAAAGACCAGAATCATTTCTAAACACCCTCTCCCACCTGACATGGCATTTTACGCTCTGAGCGGGAGGTGAGCACCTCAAAGATAAATATATTCTCCACAACTAAGCCACAACAAGATATTACATTCTTGGTCACATCTGGGTGAATAAGCCAATTGTGTAAATTTGGGCCAACAGTCATCTTCAGTTTAAAATAATCAAGAGAATTAAATATTCCTCTTTACATATATACACAGCTATGCTGTGAATGTGTACTCACTTATAAACATATAAAAATACTTGTCAACTAGTTTGATAAGAAAATAATGTATAAAAGTAGAGTAGAAACATTTAATCAAGTCCATTACTTCCATCATCTGATTTTCATGTTGTTTATATTACAAGATGATGATGTGAAAAACAAACTGCAGTACTTCATTTATATGCCCGAACAGAAGTACACAAGTGGAGAGGGAAGGCAGAACAGTATATTGTGTCTGTGGCGATGAGAGCTCCACAGGTGGCAGGTCCGCTGAGTTCATGTCCCATTGGAGAATGGCTGTTTTATGATGTGCATCTCAATGCTTCCACTTATTTTCCAAGTGACAGATCATTTAGGGGGGGAGAAAGTTACGTAACAGAATAACTCAAGGACACAAAACAAAAACATTGCCACTGTGTTATTGGAATGATATAACAGTAATTTGATCTATATCATAGACTGAATGTTTGACAGAAAAGATGCATTACATCGGAATGATCTGAACTGAACTCTGAAAGCTTCTTGATTTGCAACAAGTGGATCTAAAAGTGAAATAGCGAGCGTACAGTGTTCAGTGTTTCGATCTGAAGTTATGTTAGTCGTCAAAGACACAGAATGTGCTACTAATAAATGCATCTACCGCTTCTTAGAAATCTGAGACAATGCATGACGTCCAATTCTGACTGAACCGCCACCTTTCAGTACATTGAGGAGACGGCAGAGGATAAGAATGCTTCAATCTATAAGACTTTTTTAAAAAAAAAATCAAATACAGTAGACACTCCATATTTGGCAAATTGAGATGAAAGCAGGAACCACAGACGAAGAAGAAGAATCCACTGCAGAATGCCAGAAAGTTCTATCATTGTAGCTTTAAGGGCTGTCTAGGCTTTATATTTATATACATACTTATATATTCACTTTCATATATGTAAAACCAAACTCAACCTCACACACTGTACTGTGGTGATTTAATAGATCATTAGAAGTACACTTTGAAAATCACAACAAATGTCACATATGTACAGTAGCAGATTAGCACATGGGAGTAAAGGTGGATATGGCACAACATACACAAAGCTTCATAAGGTAATCTCTCTGCTCTGGTCAGACACCGGAAAACTAAAGAAACTCATTAACATTCTGGATATATAGTTTTCATTCAATCTCGGTAGCAAGTACAAATGTCACTACAAGGCAAGAGAAGTCCTTCAGAGTACAAAACATTAATTTGTCAGGCTGATTTAGAAGGCAATGTTTAGTGTTGGGGACTCTCTCGTGTGAATTAGATTACGGCTGAAGGTAGAGTGGTGTTAAAATTTGGCATTGTCAGTTGTCCATAGTGATGTCCTGGGGACAGCAGTTCCTGGTCAGAGTATCTCAGAAAAGGCTGTCTGAAGTCATGCACGTGGAGAAGGCAGCGGTCAGTCATCCACTTAGGATGTGATGTCAGGCAGAGTGGGTGGGGTTGTAGAGAGTAGCTGCATGAGTTACAGTGATAAGGCCGACTCAGACGATCACACAATGGCAGCCGCTCTTGTCTTTCTCTTTTCTTGTAGGTTCTGGCGACGGTGGACATTCCTGTTCTTGGAATTTCCTGGGAGTTGGGAGAGAACAGAACTATCATGACACACTGGACTTTTGCAAACTCTGGTTTTCCTTCCAAAATGCAACAGCAAGACTCCTCACTGGTGTCAGGAAGAGAGACCGTATCACCCTGATACTGGCCTCTTTTCACTGGTTACAAATGAAGAACAGAATTAATTTTTTTTTTTTTTTGTTTGGTTTTGTTTTTTAAAGCGGTGCATGGGCACACTCCTGCTTACATCTCTGAACCGCTCATCCCCTATTCCACCTCCCAACCCCTAAGATCTGGTGACCAATCACTGCTCTCAATTCCACGTACCCAGTTAAAAACCAAAGGTGATCGAGCATTTTCAGTTGTTGGTCCTAAACTATGGAACAGTCTCATGAAACAGGCCTACATAATTGTATAGACAGTGATTGACAGGATGGATCACAAATGAGGGAGACCAGTGCCCCAGTGGTGTCAGCATCAAGTGAAGGAGAGGACTGTGTGCCCCTGACAGCTTTAACGTCTGCTGCCTTGCTGGTTTGATGCAGTTGTGCCTGATTACACATTTCCACCCATGTAGTTGTGGATTGAAAACACAACTGCATTTACACTTGTGTTTAAAGTGGTCACAATGCGTCCTTTACCACCTCCAAAGGTGGTTTGGCCGGTTGGATCACAATCCATCCTCAATTTTTGGGTGCATGTACACCTGTACTTTCATGTGGTCAATCACTATCCGATTGCAAATATGATCACCCATAACACATTTTACTGCCAGGTGTAAAGGGGGTCATAGGATCAAAAAAAATGATGTCATTTGTGGGGTTGTCAAATCTGTTTGAACAACAATCACAGTCCTGATGATGCAGATCACCTGAGTTTTGTTAAACTTAATACATAATGCCAAAGAATGTTTTTTTTTAATTCACAACTTGGTATCTGGTTGTTGCTTATGTACTCATGATTAGGATCCATGTCTTTATTGGGGAGCTGACAGCAGATAAATGACAGTAAAAAAAAGGAAAGAGAAATACAGAAAAGGTCCCTGACAGGATGTACCCAGGAGCGTTGTGATTCATGGTCATTGATTTAATCCCTCGGCCACCAAGGTGTCACCAGGGCACCCTGAGTCGTGAATATTTCATGTTCCATATGAAAAAAGCCCTCACTGTATCCTGCATTATTTACGGTTTCAACAGAAGTGCATGAATGTTCATCTTTTCAGCCACTGTTACACCTTTGGAAAACAGCAAACCTGAGTCACTAAAAGATCTTCATGATGCCTTTATGAATCACCTACCTGATTACCCTAACCAGCTCGTGGAAAGCCTGGTCTACGTTCATACGGATTTTGGCTGAAGCCTCCATATATGTGACCTTCAATTGTCTAGCCAGCTGCTGGCCCTCTTCCTGGGTTACCTGCGGCAAAATGAAGACATTTAGGTACAACACATGTAAAGCATCTTCCATAAACCCTAAAAATGAACAGGCATTTATGACACACTGAAACAAACTTCCTGAGGTTTCTGACAATTTTTGCCCCCATTAAAGAGTTTTTCCTTATCCACTGTGAAGGTCAGAGGACAGAGGATGTTGTGTGCTGTAAAGCCCTCTGAGGGCTAATTGTAATTTGTAATATTGGGCTTTATGACTAAAACTGAATTGTCATGACCTTGAGATCCCTTTTGCTGCACCTAGTTTGTACTCCTCTAGCTAAAATCAGTTTAAATAAGTTGCCCTACATATTCAACATTGTTTACTGTATTAACTAATAATCCCTGCAGGAGCAAAGACTAATGGACCATTTACTGCAATACTGCTGTAGTACTAAATGTGTGCCACATACTTTAAGTGCACATGACACTGTATAAAGAATTCAGTGTGCACATGTTCAGACTTTCACATCCAAGTGAAAGTGACCCTTAATAACACTGAAAGAAGAACTTTGTTGTTTTCCTTTTCTCACCTATAAATATATCCAAGCAAAGTATTAAATATTTACATTTACGCCGCCACTTCTTATTTCCGACCTAACAAGGCTTCCTCCTGAGCCTTCACAATATCATCTACCATTTGTTCCAACACCACAATCGCTTTGTCCTCCATTACAGAAAAAGATGAAGCAATTTTTTGTATGCATGTCCTTCTTTTTAAAAATTGCACCTCATTTTGTGATTTCTCCAGTGTAAAGTTACTACACACTTAAATTAGTATGAATGCATGTGGGACGGCCTCTTTTTTTAAACAGCTGTGCAGAAAATCTGGACCTGAATAATGCAGAAGTAATTAGATCCAAAGCTCGACTCCCTGATGGCTACAGACCAGTTAACAAAAATGAGAAAATGTTAAGTAAAAACCAGATAAAACCAGATTTTTCCAACACTGATATAAGGAAATATGTACTAATGTGTTTGTCAAATGGCATAAAGTTGAAAAATCTATTCGTGATAAATATACTATTACTTTAAGTGCTTTTATGTGTTATGTTTTTGGGCATCTGAGCTACCATCAAGCTGATTAGGTCATGTGTCGACAGCATAGATAGAATAAATAATAAGTAAAAGCCAACACAAGCTAATTTCACACTAAGGCTTGAAATACTAAAGCTGATCTCAGTGAATAAAACCCATTGATGATGATTATTTACTTGTGCCTGTAAGGCTTCTTCTCACCATGAGGGGGTGGTGTGGTTTCACTACAGGAAGTGACGATCAACTGCATACCAGCAGCATCAAATTCGTCATTTCATCACACTCCCTTTTCTCTCCATCCATCCTCCCCTCCTGACACCACCATTTCTACAGCCTCTCTTATTCTTTCAGTCACATCCTGTTGTATCTTGGCAGCTTTGCTGCAGCTGCAGCGCTTGCTTCCACTTTCAAATATGCAAATGCGAGTCCCCCAGACTGCTTGATATCATCTCTTTGTTAGTCAGTGGGTTCAGATCTCTGCAATCTGTTGGACTTACTTGTCTCTGTAGTTCCAGATCTGCTTTGTTTCCTACAAGGATCATAGGGAATTCATCTCTGTCTTTCACTCTGAGAATCTGTCTTTGGAATTTGTAGATTTCTTCAAAGCTGTAAAACACATCACAGTGTTAGGTTGTATTTTCTGCACAAACAGGTTATATAGTGTTTTTACATGCAGATGCATTCATATAAAAAAGCACACGTGCCCGGCATCGCAGTGTTGCTAAATGACCCACCCATGCACACAAACACACCCTTCACCCAGAAGTTGGGGTCACCGCCACTGTGGATCAGACTGGAGGGCTGAATGTGTTAGCCAAGAGAAAAAAGAAGGCAGCCACGCTATTACAGAAACATAAAATGTGTTTGTCTGAGGCTGGGCTCCGTGCACTGACCTGACCGTTGTCCCACTATAATATAAAGGCCATGTGCACTTTTTCAACCAAAGAGCAAATAAAAATGTCAATCTGGGGGAGAAAAAAAACAGGCAGAATCCAACCACAAACCCAGGACGGCATTCCAGCCACGGGCCCGCAGACAGCTTGGTGAGCACATAGTAAATCTGGAAAGACTTGACTAATATAAATGGAGGAAGGAAAGACTGTTTACAACATAAACATTGGGAGGGGGCTGTGGGTGGGGGCAGGGGAATGCAGCTCACTGCACTGCTGGGCAGGGACACAAAGACAGTGAAGATGGGGTGTGACAGACAGACTGCAAGAAGAATACTATATAGTGTAATGTGAAAAATATTTCAAAGGTGACTCAGGCCACATAGAAGGGAAATCAGCCCTTATCATCTAGTGAGATTTTCATACAATCAGAGCCATATTTTGTGATACTGTTTATGGTCAACAATTAATGTATTTACATTCAGTTATTATAGCTCTGTCACTTCAGTCACTTCCTGGTAGACAACTGGCACATGAAACTGGCTAGTATATTCCTGTTGTCATTTTCAGGCATAACTGTAATATTTAAAGACAAGGTGGTCCGACCTATCTGAAGTTTCTGCTGTGCTTATTTTATGCACTATGTTGCTTTGCTAGCTTCTTTGATAAGTCAGACCTACCGACACGAAAGCTAAGCAATGTACTGCTACGGATGGGGGGCTGCAGCAAAATATATTTTAGCCACCTAAAAAATCTGTATCAGTTTAAATGTACGCTATATCTGCAATATTTTCCCTGCTTTACCTTACACATAAATTAATCGAGGCAGTGGTCGACTAGCTACTCCCATGTTCTGCAAAGTAAAACCACTGTTTTATTACTGACAGTAAGGTTAAGTGGTGAAAATATTCTGAACATGGTGTGCACTTAAAGTAATACTGATATTTGTAGGTGGCTAAAAACTAATCAAATGAGGCAGCATTTGCTCAGTGGGGACGCAGGAGTTTCTACCTGAACGTCACAGTAAACTGTGATTTGGTGTATTGGGTAAATTCTGTTTGTAGTGGAGGAGTCCGCCATTCTTGTGGTGGATTCAGATTGCCTATCTTGACCACGAGAGACTGATAAGAAAACAATGCATGCAAGTAATGCAGTGCAATTTTTTCTTATTGATAACAGCCTGTTCACTCTTCACTTTATTAAAACAACCTGAGTTGGCTTGGTTGCACTGTAAACTGCTTTTCTATTGGATTTCTGACATGGTAGCAGCTCGAGTTGTGCTGCAGAATTGAATCGCCCCTTCTGTTACCACAGTTACCACAGGTGTTGCCAAATCAACCAGGACTGGAATCCTTTGGATAATAATCTTTAAAATTTTGGCATTTAAATTTAGAAAAATCATATTATTCCACACTGTTTTGACAGTTTGATTTGCTGTATATTCTGTATTGGCTTGTACCACCTCTTGATGAAAGCTAATTCATGTTTACACTGGGTGAAATACATAAAACCCACTGTTTTGACTGCGCCATTACATCAAATGGAAATATTCTAGATATCTTGTGCAACATTCAACCTGGTGTCCTTGGGAACTTTCACAGACTGTTAGTGCCAATACATACAGTTTACAGTTAATGTCAAGAAGAGTTCAAAAGTTATGAAGTTCTAGTCTCTCATCTCTACACTAGCCCATGTAGTACTGCCTAAACAGCACACAGGTTTTAAACAGGAAGTTAAGGTACATGAATAAGTGACTTCAAGAAAACAGGATGAGGGAGAAATGTTAAGAACAAAAGAAAATGACAACAAGAACAACAGCGAGGGGGTCCGGAAGTACAGGCGGCAACAAGTGAGAGTATCGCTGCAAGATTTATGGTTATAGTGAAGCGAGAGGCAGAGGAGGGGAGAGAGAGTGAGTGCAATTGTGAACAGTAAACAGAGATGTGCAAACAGAAACAAAGAGAGAGAAAGACAGAGAAGCGAGCTCGTAGCTATGCGTTTGCACATGACGAGAATTGTCACTCACCTTCCTCTGTCAGTGACTGAGAAGACGAGCAGGAAGCCCTCCCCTGTCCTCATGTATTGTTCTCTCATGGCTCCAAACTCTTCCTGTCCAGCCGTGTCGAGGACTAGAGGGAGTGTGCGCACACACACAGCGACGTAAATCACACACAAAGAATAACTTGCAGCAAAATAGACTTTTGCAAAGAAATTCCTCGAGTGCAGTATAATGCAATAGAAACACACAAATAGCCTGGGTGTGTAGACTTTGTGTGTGTGTGTGTGTGTGTGTGTGTATTTACTCTGGTCATGTTTGTTCAGCAAAGTGCACTTACTGTCAAGCCTGGCCGCCCTTTCGTCAATCACACACTGCTTGGTATAAGAGTCTTCAATCGTGGGGTCATAGTCGGTGACAAAGTATGACTGCAGGAGAGAAAGGAGAGACAAAACAGAGACAAACTGTGAATATGTCTGCGGTCTACACACTTCGTCAGGTTGAGACAAGTCCTGTGTCGCAACTCCATAATAACTTCTATATACTGATTTTTACATTGTGCATACAAGACCAGCATGCTTTACTGTTATAAACTAACAAGGAACAAAGCAATATATGCACCTTTCAAAGGCATTCACTTTACAGTAACACTGCCAATTACCTTAGAGATATACTGTGCAGGATATTCATAAAAAACAATGTAGAGACTCATATAAAAAATGCTCTTAATCATCACTTATGGCCCACAAGAGGTGTGTGGTGGTATATTTATTTGCAGGGACTCTAGGTGACACCCCTCCAGCGTCAGTTTTGGACACTCAGGGGACTGCTTGTCAATTTTTGCTCATTACATGCATTGTGTTTTCTCAAAATTAACTTTCATTTTCACAGGAAAGGCACGTTTTCTGCTCATTAAATGTGTTAGAGCCAAGAAAGTCCTAGTTTCCTATTATTTCTGAGTCACTTTAATGCACCTCCTGACCTGTCATCTTGGGAACCTTTAATTAAAGGCAGGTGTGCTGAAGTGAGTGTGGAGCATGGAAGATGCCACAGGGTAAGTCTTTAAGCGCTGTGTTTTTGGTTAATCTCGGTTTTTATTGTTTGATGAACTCATTTAATGCCCCACTGATTTGAACTTTGTTTTTGTAAAGGCCTGTTTATTTGGGGAATGTTTGTTTTTGGATTTTGCTTTCATTTTTTGAACGCGGTTATCAAGACAATTGGTAGATAGTGTTATCTTGCAAATCTCCATGCATCCTGCAAATCAGTCACCTCTAAAACCAACTGAAGCCTGGATCATCAAAACTATACCAAAGACAGTGAGTTCATCATATTTCACGTAAATGGTGTCTGTGGGTGGCTAATTTTGAACTTATTTGGAAGCTGCAATAAAATGCATATTGTCTCAGTTCAAAATAAACCTTTTTTTAAGTTTACTTCCTTAGGTTTAGACAACAAAAGCATGTGGTTAAGACAAAAAATACATAATGGACTGGCTTAAAATACGAATGTTACTAATGTAATGTAACATCACGTCACATATGTTACTCGCGTGGTATGCTACACATACTAAAAGCTTATTAAAATAATTTAATTAGTCTCCTGGGTGAAAGTCCGACGTTTGTTTGACCCACCTGCCTTCTTTTGTTGATTTTGTTGCTCTTTATACTACACCAGTTGTTTGGAGGATCAAAAAATGCTGTTGCCTGGTGCATCGGTATCTGATGCTGAGGGCCTCCAACCAAGCGTCAGTATTTAATGAGATAGGAGTGCAGGTTTGGCAGCGGAAGTCAGGACTTTTTTTTTCGAAAATTGCCAACACAGTGCAGAAAAATTAGCAAGGGAAACACCAAGTGGATGAAGTTAGGGTTAGCTTTCACTTTCGCTGGCCAGTGGCCGACAATTCCTGCGCAGTATACCTTTAAAAGAGACAAAAAATTGTTTTGTTTTGTCTTCTAAGATGTTCCTGGAGCAGTTTCACCACCATGCACAATTATTATTTCATTTCCTTTGTGCATGGTAGGAGAACAGTGTCCACAGCTTTATGACTGTCCTGAGTACACTTTATTTTGTCACCAGCATCAACACACAACCATACACTGAAATCTTGTTTAACATAAGTATGCACCATGGATTAAAGACACAGATACAGTCTATAAAATCAGCTGGTTTTATAATGAATGGATATGAGAACAAACAGCTACTCTGTCCTTGTGTTTTGGTTACAGCAGCCCAGACAGCCTCAATGACCTCTACCTTTACAACTGTACTGCAGACAGGAGGTAAACACGCTGTCTGCAGACACTTGCACAAAAACTGTCATGTAAATATTCCCTCACACAACAACAACCCCTGCTTAGGCTCAGACAGCAGGCTGGTTTTTCATGCTAACAACCCATTTTACAAGACATTTCCTCAATTGCAGCAGTCACACCACTCACTCCTGAAGGCTTTGATTCTTTTATTCCGGGGCCAATATCTGGTCTCCTAGTAACCTAAACTGGAAGGGTGGGGCAAGGGGGCAGGGAGCCGGGAGGAGGAGGAGTCATGCATTTTTTACATTTTTCCCATGTTTTGTAGTTCTCGCTCTCCTCGGGGACTAGTTAAGTGGTGACAGCTGAGGGGAGTGCTCGGGGAATGTCGAACCAACACCCTAAAACACGGTGCAATCACGAAGACAGAACATCCAGACAAGACTCCCTGTCATTGTAACAACAAGCCAAATTAAACTTTTACATTTACATGTCAGGTTGTTTGTGTGTGACTGTGTGTGTCGTTTCACAGGTTGTATACTGTTTGTTTGCTGTTATTGGGCAGCCAGGGACGTGTACTACATGTCATCTGACTCTCTCAGTAACATATAGACAGCTGATAACATAACAGGAAAAAAGAAGCAGCTAAATCACTTCCTTGATTGCGATTAGAGCCCGACTGATGCATCTGCATAACTATTAGCAACCAATTTTAGCTTTACAGAGACATCAGTATGGGGTTATATGTTGGCTGATAGTAGGACGTAAGTGTGGGAAAGTCCAGAAATGCCTTGAACATTAGTCTAAGGTCAGTGACAAACTGTGGCCAGCTACGTCTGCAAGTGACAATTATTTTCATTGTCAATTAATATGCTGATCATCTTCTTGATTAGTCGCTTTGTCAGAAAACATTTGCTATGATTTTCCCAAACATTTTCCCAAAGGCGATGGATCCGAATTACTTGCTTTATTTGAGCATCAGTCCAAACTCTAGAACTATTTTTATGGCAAAGTAAAGCATGAAATCCTAATCTTCAAGAAGGTAGAATTTTGGTTTGAAAAGTGACTAAAACAATTATCATTCTTACAATATTTTCTGATTAATTTTCTGTTAATTGACTTATCTACTAATTGCTGCAGCTTTATCACCATCATTGTCTTACAGCTCTAGAATACCAACATCAGTAATCGCCTCAAGCTCTAATTTTGTTATGTGGATGTTTGTGATTCCAACTTATCGTCCCTTGTATGCATATTCTTTCTTCTCACCTGCAGCGCTCAGTTGTTGCAGGAGATGCAGGTAATCTCTCCCTTTCACTCTCCTGTCGCTCTGCAGCATGCAAGTACGCTGGCCTGTGTCACATCCACTCACCACTGTTCAATAATTCATCAGTATTACTGTGTATCCTAAGAACATGCTTCACTGCACTGCACTGCCAGTGTGCCTTCAGACGACCAGACAGAGACAGAAAGAGAGAGAGAGGGTAGGAGAAAAAAAAAAAAAAAGCTGCTTGTGTTTCTTGTCCCTCCCACCACCAGTACCACCACTCTCCCAGCCGTTGCTTCAGCACGTGATCTCGGCTTCCCGTCAACCTCTTATTCCTATTCTGTCAACCTCGGGCAGCCGCATTGAGCGCCACACTCCTCTGGCTATTCCTCCCCTCCCTCCACACGCACGGGTAGTGTAGCTGCCTCGCGCTCTGTTCTGGCTGAGCTGATTCTCTCAGAGCCGTTTCCCGTGATAGATGAGGCTGTTTTGCAGTGCCAGCAGCACCAGAGCCAGCACTAACAGGGCCGGAGCTCGGCCTGGCCAGGCGATGGTCTGGGTGAGGGAGTGCAACATGACTCAGGAGGACTACCAATAACTGCATGACATAAGCCAGCCTGAGTCATGTCCAGTAATATGACCTATAAATCCTACATTGGTGCATGACTTCATCAGATGTACCAGGCTCCTCAAACAGAATGAATCAGGTTGTATGAGTCAACTAGAGCTGCCCCAAGGTTTTTGGGGGCAACAGCACCCACAAGTTACTTCTACATCCACCACCTACAATTAGGGCTGGGTATCTAACCTCAGTACTGTCTGAAAACATACCAAGTAGCAAAAACTATCCTGAAAGATAGCATTAAGTGCTGCGTTAGGTTTTTGTTTAATTTTTTTACACATTCTTTGATAGAATGTTTCCTAATTGAAGTCGTAACTTTGTCCATTTTATACAATTTCATTGTGGCAAAGTTCTTGTACAGTTTTGTTAAGACAACATCAGGGTTGAGTCGCATAATCACATGAAAGGATTATCCAGTATGGTACTTTATGTGAGTATGAGTATCAGAGTAAAATGTGTCAATATCCATACTTGTGATGAAGAAAAATCCTCAGTTGGGTAGCAGTGTTCAGTCTCTTACTGTTGTAAGAGATCATAAATATAGCAACTTCTGATAAACCCATATCAATTTCAGGCTTAAAATAACAACTTCTGGTTATATCCCACTCATTTCTAGTCTAAACCAGGCCCAGTCTGAGTACAGACACAGATACCGACAATTTTGTGGCTGAAAAGATACAAATAAAGATAAAAGTGTACCAGCTCATCCACTGACAACATTAAGCACTGCTGTTACATGTACCAAAAAGGGTTTAGGGAATGTTTATATTAACTAATGATATTTACATCATCGATTCATCTGCCTTTTTTGTATTTTTACAATTTTTACTTTAGTCAAAGAAAACTTTATTTCCATTTGCAGTTGTTATATTTGGCTATATGGCTCTGTTCTGGGGCCTCTCTGCTCTTCCATGCACCTACGTGAAAAGCCTTAGGCAAATAGAGCACACCTCTCTGCCCTTCCACATGCAAACGAGGAAAGACTGAGGCAAAAAGAGCAAACCTCCCTGCCCTTCCATGCGTCTACAGGGAAAGCCTAAGGCAGAGAGAGCAGCAGCAAAGACCCCCCGAGAACAGAACAGAGCAGTATCAATGACAAACAGAAATTACATTGATAAGTCAGACACAGAATGAAAAGGAGGAGCTGGGGTGGAGGCAGGTTGCAAAGCAGCTTGCAGAGGAAGCAGCAACAGTAGGCAGGCCAGAGCAGTTTAAATAGGGCGCCCTGAATGAGATTCGCCAATTGGTTGCATAGAAAGGAATCATAAAACACAAACATCTATCAGC